ACTCCAAAAAGCTGCGTGGAAGTGTCTGAATGATTTTGTAGAGATGGTGGTGGAATGCCTTAGTCTCTGCAGAGCTGCTCCAGGGAATTCTGATAATTTGATGAGACCAATCCTCTGTTTTTCACCCAACATGCCAGAGAATGTAGACACAACCGTAATTATCCCCTTACATAGGTGGAAAAGTGCCAAGCCCGTGCTCTCTAAAATATTCTGTGATGGCCTGCACAACTGCTAGAAAAATACTGTAACTGTCATACTTTCATTGTGTCTTTCCCTCCCATGTCTCTCTTACTTAAAAAAAAAAAAAGAAAAGAAAAAAGCTCTCACTCTTTCCTCTTTGGTCCTAACAGCCTAACAGTCTTCAGATTTGCTCTTCCTCCAAAGACAGGTGTTTTCCATGAGAAGACTGTACTCAGCCAGGGCTGCCTGAGCGACATCTCTCCTGGGCCTCCCGCTTTGGGAAACTCCTTAGGCAGAAATGCATTGTAGGTGGTGAACAGAGAAAAGAGAATTATAACTTGTTGGAGTCTTGTCTCAGTCTTGCTGCAAGACTGTATAAGGTTCACTGCTCTGCCACTGCTGTTTTGATGTTACAATGACTGAGAAGTGGCTCAGTACCCAACAGGTCAGCATGGATGCTCAAAAGAGCCCAAGATAGATTTCTTTTAAACAACAGCACAGGATGTGTGAGAGGTTACCCGGCTGACTTTAAAGGGATGTGGGACAGGGGTGGGGTCAAAGAATTGATTATCATAGTTTGCCAGATGTGATAGGTAACTCTCTATATAGAGCCTCAGACATTCAGGATAGAATAGTCGGGTCGCTAAGAGACTGGTTTCTTCAGTGCTTGCTACTCCCAATGGTAACACGATTGTTCATGAGATGTTTAATATTATGGCCAACAATGGGAGCCACTGTTGTACCTGGGAATCTTGTGCCTATAAAAACAGGAGGATCCAACAGAAGCCACAGGGTGAAAAGTGCCCAAGTCAGTCCTGAATGGACTCCAATCAGCTGTCTCTACTTGCCTGGGGCAGGGATTTGAAATTTCCCTTCAGTGGCACTCTTTAGCTGTGGAATTCTCAGAGTGTCCTTCTGTCTCTCTCCCCCTTCAATGGCACGTGCTCTCAGGAGCCTTGGGACTCAAGACAAAGCTCTCAGTGTAGCCAGGCTTCCAGTTTGCAGGAAACACAAACCCAGTTTTCAGGACTTCCTTTTGACCTGTACGTATGACACACCCACTGCTGGGGTCCTGGGCAGATGCCTGAAAATGATCTTGCCACTAGCACATAGGGCTCTTTCTTAGTTATGCCAATCAGTCAAGACTTGTTTACTTATGTTTGCATTTCCTCTTTGTCAAAAAAGAACTACAAAAGGGGAGGAAAGCTGCAATTGTGTTAAATAGACAGTTGGTCTGACACAAGAAAACATTTAGCTGAAAACGGGTTTCAATTCTAGGCTACTAGGCAAGGTTTCGTTAAACAGGGTCTCTCCCTCTCTCTCTATGTATATTGTTTGTGTGTGTGTGTGTGTGTGTGCGCGCGCGCGTGCGCACACATGCACACGCACATTTTACAAACAGTTGAGAATATCACCTGTCTTGAGCAAGTCAGGGATTCACTTCCCTGAGGCAGGGCTTCAAAACTTCTGCTCAGTGGCATTCTTTAGCTATGGAATTCTCTGAGTGTCTGAGAAAAAGTGGGAGATTGATACTAACATTCCACCAAGATTCAGGCTCTGGCCAGGGCCTAAAAAAGGAAGCCTGAAATTCCTGGGAAATGAGCTTCCAGTCTTGGCACCCTCTTTACTCTCTCATCTGCCCAATTAAGTGTCGGGACATAGAGAGTAGATTTTGTTTTTCAAGTTCCTTCTTGGTTTTAGCTCATCTTCAGAATGGTTTCTCTGGTCCTGCAGCTAATGGGGAGAAGTAGAGTCAGGCTGGAGAGGGTCTGAGCTGTGGTCATCTTTGTCGGCCCAGGGTGCCCACAGGCATACTGGGGAGGAGTCTACCTAAAAAATTTCCCAGCACCAACTTGTTCCCTCTAGTTTCTAACTCAGGCAAACTGAGGCATGAGGGACATGGTTCCAAGTGGTCAAACTCGTGTCAAGCATTTCTAGATATTTTTCACTCAGGAGTTTATAGATATTTCTCACTTTCTCCCAAGGCCAGAGTTGGGCCTTCTGTCCCTCAACAGTAACTCCAGTTAAGGTTTTTGTGGGCAGGTGAAAATGGAAAATGTCAAATGTGGGCTGTTTCTATTGGGAAGCATAATGGTGTAAGAGTGGGCTTGCTCTTGGCCCTGTTTCTCAAGTTGTCCAAAGTCCAAGGAAACAAATCTAGCCTATTAGTATATTCCTTTTCTTTTTGCGTTTTCAGTAGCTTCCTTGAGTTCTATCATGTCCTTGTTCTATCATGTTCAGTGTTTATCCTTGTTTCCTGGTGTAATGGTACCATCTATCTTGGTTCTGGGAATGTTTCTGGACAACAGTTGCCGAGCCCTTGAACTGATGAATACTGAATGACACTGGTGAGCCCCTATGAACTTCAAACTCATCTACTGAGCAAGAATGTCACAATCTTCATCCTCCTTTGGAGTCTTTCCCTTTTGGGGGCTATTAGGGACTCTGGAGACAAAAGGAAAGCACATACCAATGTTTATGGAAAGCAGCAACATAGCAAGAACCAAAGATCCTGAGAAGCCAATTTTTCTCAGAACAGACACACACTGAATTTGCACACTGGCTTGGTCTTGTGGATAAAGTCTCAGCTGACAAGGAGAAAAGAGGTATAGAGAGCACAGCGATTGTCCCATGTCCTTCTGTCCTGATAGTCTGGGGTACCAAGAAGTACACCTGAGAAGAAAAACAAAAATCTAACCCCTGGTCCCACCTATTTAAATCCTGAGCTTTATTTTACTGCTTAGAGAAAGATTTCAGAAAAATCCACTGCCTTAAGATGATCATTTTCATCTCTTTCCAGATCCAAAGCTCTAAAAATGTTCAGAGAAAAGTCTGGATAAAGACTGACAATAACAATTTGTCATACCCACCAACAAGAGCCAACAGAAAGCACAGAGTGCCTTCTTCTTCTTCAAGGCCAAGGTGGGGAGAGCCTTGTCCTTTAGTTTTGCCTCCTCCCTCTCCCTCTTACACAGGCCTTTATCCAGCAATCAAAGCTTAATCATGAAGAGCAAGTAGCTTAAAGAATATAAAATATAAAACTCTGCCATATAGTATTTTAAATCACTCTATTTACAAATTTATCTGTTAAAAAAAAGTAAAAGATACAGTAATTCAACACAATTCAAGTTTTTTTCTTTTTTTTTCTTTAAAGTTTAAGTTCCCTAAATAGAAATTGCAGAAGGAAGGAACTCTCTGGAGTGAAGCCATCATGCCACGCAGGTCCTGGGAGCTTTACAGTCCATTGGTTTTGAGCTGGTCTGTTCAGAACCAGATTGGAATCTTAACAGATTCAAATGCGCAAACTACCGGTGATTCTTTTCTCAGGCTGTGGTGAGTCTGGAGTGGCCAGACCTCACCTGCTCACCCAAGAGAGTCTTCCATAAATGCCTTCAAACCCAGTCCCTTCTTGACCAGGAAATTCCTATTTGCAGAAGGTCCCCATTCCACTGGCTATCCTCCAAGCCTTTTGGTGTTTTCTTGAATCACAATGGCCTATATTAGTCTCCTGCCTGCGTGACCCATGGCCCGAGAGACAATTCCTTTTTTTTTTTTTTGAGTGGCAGTGAACAAAGACATTTTTAACTAGAGTTCATGAGGTTAGCCTAGGGAGCAAGCCTGATAACCACCAGTGCACAGCAGTCCTGGGCACTGCAGGGAGCCGGTGAGGGGCTTGATGCAGGCAGGGATGGGTCAGGGAGGGCAGACGGGAGGTCACAGGGGAGCCCGGACGGAGGGAGGGCATCACCCAGTGGGAAGCAGCATCACGCCCTCTAGAAAGCATATGACAGTTGCATGGAGGAACACAAATATCAAGCCAGTAGGTAATTTAATCCCAAGAAGTTACTAGAGTGTGCTCCCAGTATATCCTGATGCTGCTGAACTTCATCAGAAAGAGGACAGACCGTTCCCAGCTGCTATTCTATCTGCCTCAAGTAGACCACTCCACTTCCTTGATCTTCTGCTTCAGGGTTTTGGAAAACCATTTAAAAAACTATCAAAAAGGGGGTGGGAAAAATGTGCAATGCAAAGAGAGTGTGCTATTTTTTGTTTTGGTTTTGGAGTAGGCTGGGTTGCCATAGTTACAAGGTGATGGCAGCCCTCTTTAGTGGCAGAGAAGTTCTTTGCTTGGGAGATGGGGAGTGTGTGTGTGTGTGTGTGTGTGTGTGTGTGTGTGTGTTTGGGGGGGCTGTTCCTTCGCATGAGAGGGTTGGGCTCAGTTCTGCTGCTGATGGGCCAACTGCTGCTTCAGAGATGGTGAGAGATTAGATCTTAGGTAAACAGTGCCTTAACCCCTTTCCATCCTGCATGCAAATAGACCCAGCAGTCCTGGAGCAGTGTGGGTCTCAAGGATTCAGAGGTGGAGAGTACTTCCTGTAAACAAAAGCCAGGGACCCAGCCTGGATCTCAATTTCTGTGCCCACCCCAGTCAGACTTTAGCTATGCTGTGTGGTCTTGGAGACGACGCAGATCTTGCTTCCTCCTTCAGAAGGCTAGAGTTTGAATGACTGCTCCAACAAAACAAATGCTCCCTTAGGTAGGGAGCTCACAAGAAAATGTCTTTGCAAGCCTTCCTCTGGGTTATCAGGCCTCTGTGGCCGATTTACTTTTATTTCTTGGCAGTATCACTGTGTGTCAGCTGAGATGATCATGGGATGGGTTACACCAGAATTCGTGGGGATGTCTGTGCTGACAGGTATCAGCAGAGGCTGTCACCCTGCATCTCTCATAGGTAAAGAGAAATGGTCTACAACACCAGAGTCAGCAGTGGTCATGGATACCATGTAAAGTTCAGCACTTCTGCTGGGGCCCACGGTTAGTTAGAGGAACTCCACGTAGTTCTCAGGGATGAGGCCGGTCTTTCCGTTCAGTGTCCCCTCCAGCCAGCCAGGCTCCTGCGAAGGATGGACTACACAGGAAGGGGAGAGAGAACAAGAAGACATAGCATTACAAGTAGGGCAGAA